AACTCCACATACTTTTTGATTCAGCTCACCAAATCTACGTAATAGATTCGATCCGTCGTTTACACTAATTTGCGTTCTAATATTGGTTCCTTGTTTGATGCTCATTACTAAATTTAGGTCGCCAGCTCTAACTTCCGTTACAGGTCTAAAGCACACATAGAGGATACTTTGCTAGACTCACTTTCAATGATGAAATTGTTTTTCTAATTTTAAACTATATGACGGTAAAGTAAAACACCTCTCCACCCCCTGGTTCTGACCAGCACTTACCTAACAGTAACCTCACGCCATACTCTCCTCAAACAATTTCCAAGGACGTCCTCGAGTGTTTATTGGATTGATCCTGATGGTGGATCCCAGGTCAACGCTTTTAAGGCTTACTGTGATATGGATACTAATGGCGGGGGCTGGACACTAGTATGGAGCTATTCCTTTACTAACTACAGTCATTTTAGAGATGATTCAAATGTGATCAGTCTAATACCAAATTGGCCGGCTACGAATAAGGTGTTTTCGTATCTCCACAACTCCTCCGTTAAATGAAACAGACAAATCTTCAGACTCTGGAAACAACTCGGCAGACAGATCCTCATCAAGAGCAGCATAAACAACTGGCTGGTGTGTCATCCGGTAACTGGCAGCTTGGTTGATTTGCAGAAAGGTAACGTCAACTGTAGGATCACCAAATACGTGCATTACGTGGCAGACCCTAGTAAATCATCTTCGGCGCCTTCCAAGTTTTACCAAGCACCAACTATGGACCAATGTTCTATTCGAGTGGGCGCTGGAACGGCACCTTTTATTATTTCAATAGTTACACAGGCAAAAATTGGCTTACCCTTGATCCTTGTGGAAGAAATAGGCTCAACCAAAAGAAAAACGTTCTTGATACAAACGGTAACATTTTTATACGAGCCGAGTAGCAGACAGACAATAACAAACCTTTACACACGTATCTTCCAGAGCTAGTTAACTTATCTGCACAAAATCATTACATTACCTTGAACAAGTGTGGCGAGAATCATCTGGAGAACCTAGAGGGTCTTATACTGATAGAACTCTAAATTCCTCTATCGTATTTACTGAGAAAAACCCTACCAGAAGGGAGAATTTAGGACCAGATTTTGGAGGCTGAAGCTTGATTCACTCTTGCAAGATAAGAACAAGCAAAGCAACAGTTATGCTCATCATGTGAAGTCGGGGAATTATCCTTCAGAATTTTGCTTTCCAATGGAGTTTTAGAGAATTCAAATCACTTCACAAATCTCTGACTTAATAAGGTGCTAGTCACTATTACAGAGACTTTGTAATTTTTTTAAAATTTGTTTTTGTATGCCTTTTTCTTCTTGGTTCTTTCTTTCTTGATGTTTTTAATAATAACTCCCTTTACCGATATTGCTTACAAAACTCGTGCCAGCCACTAAATTAGTTAGTTGCAATCAGCTAGAGCAATTTTTAGAATGAAATGAATAAATAAGGTTCACTTAAGGAAGCTTGGATCAATCACCACATTAAATAATTGACGTCACAGCTTTTTATATATTTAAGGCGCAAAATAACGGGTTTAGTAACGAGCATTACTTAATAGTAAAAACATATTTTCCCAGTAACAAAGTTTCAAAACGGTATACCGCTTGGTTCTAAAGGGTGCATACCTTTCCAAGACACTTCAATTTCTTTTCTACTATATGTTGAAACTTAGTTTGCCTTCTAGGCTAACTACCTTCGAAATGCTAATAAAAACAACTTGTATTTCATGTTAAGACCATAGTGTTTGCTATTACTTATTCTGCATTTATAAACCGTAATTGATATATTTCAGGAGCTTTCCAAAACCACTTTGGGTTTTTTTGCCAATTGAGTACAGCTACCTGACCAAATAAATTCTCGTTAGATTTCTGGATATCATTACAGGTGTTTTTGCCTTTTATGATTGTTTTCTCTAACTCATTCCTTAAAAAAGGCAAATTAAAGCTGATCTTTACTTCAAGGTTTTGAATCACGCATTCTGAACTTCTGAACACTCAGTCTCATTTCCAAAAAAACTCGCACACCCATACCTTCTCCGATCCCCGAATGAAAGATAAGTATTAACAAATAAAACAGAGCATAAAATCCTTTTAGGTTGTACTCGAATGCATTACGTTTGTTTTTGTTTGAGAAACCAAACTCGATAAAATCATGAGGAGTAAAGATGTGCTCCTGTATCAATATGCCTAAGAGCACTCAACAGACAAAAAGGGAGAGACCTTGTGGTAAACGACAAGCTATCTTTAATGGCCGGAAGAACAACCTTTTCCAACATCCGGGAATCTCTGAATACGGGTTTGACAAATTAGGGCATGTCACGCAATATGTTACAGCTCCCAATGTTACTTTTCTCATCGATGATGGCTTTAAAACTTGTAAGTGACGTCTCTTCAAATTGTTGCAATATATTAAGCAATAATCCAACAGAGTTCTCTTCCATTGATTGTTCTCCGTTATGTCATCATATCATTTTAATTTCCTTTCTTGCAGATCTTTGCTCAGGACATATTTGCTCTCATAAGCGCTTTTTCGGTAACACCAAAGATATCCGCCAAAGAAGATCAGGGCATGTTTTTGCGCATAGAAGAAAACGGTTTTTTTGACAATGAAAATGCTCTTCAAGGTGAAAAGGTTGACTCTACATTGACCTGTGCTCAAATGTGTCGCAGAGCAGCTGCTTGCAAAGGAGCAAACTTCCTGGCGAACAAAGGCTTGCTTGCTTTTTGGCGAAGGAAAACAAGCAAGAAAGTTGGAGAGATTTGTAAAATGAGA